AAGAACTCCATTTATTTATTTATTTAGGTACTGGGGATCGAACTCAGGACCTTGCGTTTGCAAGGCAGGCATGGTGCTCCTGAGCTAAATCACCAGCACAAGAACTCCTTTTATTAAACACTTGTACATATTGTTTAAATGTCAATGATTACAGTAGTGATACATATATATATATATATATATGATAATTCCTCTCTTTTAACTGATTTAAAAATCAAGTATCAGTCTTGATTTAATCAGATAAGGAAGTGCTCATGTATTTAAATTTTGTTAATGGACAAATTCTAACTTTCTTATTGCCAGGCAGGGGAGAGAGTCTTGTTGGGAAGGTTAGACCCATGGCTCTAAATAAATTGCCTTTCCTTCCCTTTCTCTCCTGCCATCTTACAGTAGAGTGAATGTGTTTTCCACTCTCTAAGCTACACATACTGTATCAGACTAAACAACCACATGTTTGGTGCATAACTTGAGAAGGGAGTGCCACTTTGCTCTTTTCTTCTTTTGGTCAGTGCTTCCAAAGTACAGTTCTAATTCTTGAATAACTGTGAAAATACTAAAAACAAAAAAAACCCTCCTGAATTGTACATTTCATTGGGTAATTAGTATAGTATATAAAATACTCCAATAAACCAGTCCCCCTCAAAAAAAAATCACAGGAGGGAAAAAAAGTAATTCACAATTTATGGCATAGAACTAAAATGAAAAATTTATGTTCAGCACTACTATGTGCCAGAAACTTACAAACAGATATGAGAATCACATGCAAGCAAGTGTAGCAAAACTAAACAAACAAACAAACAAAATTCTAACCTTTGCTTCTTCTAAAGATCATTAAAATACTATTTCAAGGTAGTTGTTTTTAGCTGGCTGTGGTGGCATGTATCTGTAATCACAGCACTCTGGGAACCCAAGGCACGAGAATCTGGAGTCTGAGCCTAGCCTGGCCAAGTTAGCAAGACTTTGTCTCAAAATAAAAAAATAAAAGAGTCTGGGAGTATAGCTCAATGTGAGGGCCTGGGGTTCAATCCTCATTATGTGGAGGTGGGTGGGAGATAATATTTTTATGCTGGTCTATCAGGACAAAATTATTTTGTTGTTATTGAAGTGTAGAGAATACAGTGTTAGGCAGAACAATTGTTTTATTTGATAGGTTTAAAGTAAGTTGTGGATCTGTAAGTACATTCTTTTCTCATTAATTGTGTGGTATTCCTGTGGCCACCATGAGGTCCTGGGTTCCTATATGAGCCCAGGCTCATATAAGCTACACATTAGGTAAGCAGTCATGAAACTGATTTTAATTTATAGATACATGAATATTCAAACTAATTCCATCTTTTTAAAGAGTGAAATTAAGAAATATTAAAATACAGTCAGTTTAACAATGTTTCCATTGTTCAAAACATTTTTGGCACTATTCATCTTATTTAGGTAGGAAAGTAGTATGAAAACTAGGATATTCACATCTTTGTGTGTTAGAGAAAGTGTGTGTCCATGTATAGTATTAACATTTTCATTTATTTCTACATGCCTTTTAGCTGTTCCAAAATTCTTCAAAATGCCATCTTCCCAGGTGAAGCTATGTGTACAGGCTGACTATGTGCCAAGGTCCAGATGCCAGTGTGCTGGGATGTGTGGCTCCTTACGAAGCAGGACAAGAGTTCCCACTGAAGTTCACATAATGGAGGGTTTCCCCAAAAATCCTCATTACAAATTTATCTGCATTAAACATTACCAATATTATAAATACCTCTTTGAATTCCTGTATTACTTAAACTCATATTGCTATTATAATTTTAAAAATAGAATACATGATGATTATACAAAAAGATTTTTCTTTCAGGTGCCAGGGAGAGTTAGCACTTGTACCACAACATGGAAAAGACACTTGAGAGGGTTGATTTACCCTCCACTCAGGGCTTGAGGGGCTCCTGGCAGAAAAGATAAACTTTACTACTAGAGGCTATCACTTAATAGAAGAGAGCCTACATATTAGGGAAGAGTAAGGGAGCTAGGGAGAGAGGGGAGGGCAAGAAAACAGTAGGGAGGGTGGATGTAATTAAAGCAATATATATGCATGTATGGAAATGTCAGTGAAAGTCATTATAATGTTATTTTTTATAATAAAAAGATAAAATTCTATTCAGTGGTGCAATAACCTATACCCCATTGAAGTGGTGGAAGAAATCAAGAAAAAAGCAATAGTAAAATTTGTGTACTTTCTCTTTTTTTTTTAACCTCTAATCTTGGCGCTCCATTTAGCACTTGACTTCAACTTGTTAATCTTATGTCTGATTTGGAAAGGTAAATGTTTTTTACATTAAAAATAAAAGCAAAACCAACATGGGCAGGCAGGTGCTCTGGCTCTACTTTGTTAAGGGCGCGAGACTGCTAAACTCCCATGGGACTTACAGGCTGTTGACACCACTGTTCTAGAGTGAGCTTCGGGAAACTCAAAGGAAACATTTGTCTTTATTTTCCTTTCAACATAGAGGCAGGAATGAGGCAAGAGAAAATAGAGAAGAAAAATATAGTCTTCATCGCCTTGGGATAATTGGTGATAAAGTGCCGGTGCATCTTATTTTCATTCTGTCAAGTCATTTTCTAATTGGATGTCCTTGAAACAGTGGCTCACTGCTTGCATCTTCACTTCCACTTTCCCGTTAATATCCTTTTTTCAGGGCCTGGGAAGCTCTGCCCTGGAGAATGATTAAATGCACAGGCAACTGTATCTTGGTGTTGTAAGCTCATTAAATTTCTCGTCATTCCTTGCAGCATGCTGGGAAGTGCTGATTACAGCCCATTTTTGCAATGTAGAACTTCTCTTCTGTGAGAGCCCCAGAAGTTCCTCCTTTGATAATTAGTCTCCTGCTTTAATTGAAGCCTTTAAGAACTCAGTATAAGCTCCTAACACTTATGGAGGTGCTGAGCCTGAGCTTCCTGAGTTTCCTATCACTCCTGCTGCAGGTGAAACTTTGAGATGCTTCCATGGTGTTATCAAATTACCTTGGGGCAGAAGCTCTCAAACTCCTGCCTGCAGAATCACCTGGAGGGAGGGTTAAGACAGTGTTGAGCTCTTCCTCAAGAGTGTCTGTTCAGTAAGGCTGGGGTAGAGGCTGAGGATTTGCAAGTTGAACAGCTCCCAAGAGATGCGCTGCTGCTGGAATTGGGACTTCTGAGGTCCTCTGTCTCAAGGAGCTGTCCTCAAGTAGGTATGTGAACACCCTGGAAAAAATGGATGAACTAGGGTAGTAGAGTATTGAATTAATATTTGTAAAATATCACAGGGTACATAGTATAATGTGAGGGGTTTGGAGAATATTTCAAGTAAGTGTGTATAACACTTGTCACTGAGAATCTTTGTGTGTGTGTGTGTGTGTGTGTGATACTGGGGATTGAATCCAGAACCTCATACATGCTAAGCAGGTAAATGCTTTAGCACTGAGCTATATCCCCAGCCCCTTAGGAACTTAATAATAACTATAAGACAGTGTTTTTGCTTTCTAAGTAATTGTAATAATCTCCCTGAGAATGTTATTTAACAAAATTCTCCCTTTTGTATAAAATATCAATCTAATAGTTTATTGTTGAATATAAAAATGATTATTTCACATAAACAGCTACCACTTTTCAGATTTTTCCCCCATAATTTGAGAAACAATTATCTTAAAAAAGATGTGGACTTCAAAGGAAGTTGCAAATATGTTGCGATAACAAGAATGAAGTCAGTATTGAAATCCAATTGTAAAACCAGGCTTTGACTCTGTTTTAGGTCATCTTTTTGATAAATAGTCAGGACAGTAAGCCAGCAAATTTGCTTTTAATACTTTGTTTCAATTTTTTCATTTTTAATAAATATTCACTTTGTATATAATATGTTTGTATATCATTGTATTTAATATGGTCTAACTGAATCAAATGTCCTATATCTGTTTATATTAATTTCATGACTTTATATAAACACATTTATAATTTTATTCATTTTATATTTATGTTTTATACTACTCAGATAAAGGCTAAATCTCTGGTTGGCTTTTTATTTTGTGGGCAGAAGATTTTAATGCACTGAATACGTGACCATTTTACACACCTAGTAAAATAAATGAGATGAATATTGAGGGAATAGAATTGAATTTAAAAATTCTTGAGCTACATCTAGCTTACAGTTAAGAGAACAGAAATTGCTTAAGCATTTTTTATAACCTTGATAAGATGTCATCACCATGATTTAAATGTGAGATTAATGTATGTAGCAATGAGAATTAGATTTAGCTTGTGTATTTAGAGTTATGATGGAAGCTCTTATGGAGACTCTTATTGCACACCAAAAGAAATATGAGGATGAAAACAGAATTGCTTTCTTCTGCATTTTTCCTGAGGTGCAGTGCTTTGTAAGATCCTCAGGGAGAGAAAGAATAGATGAGTAAAATGAAAGAAAACTGTGTAAAGGATTTAATTATTTCAAAATTGCCTATGTTCCTTCAACCAAGAATAACCACAGAAGCTTTTCTTAAAACAAAAAGAGTTCTTACTATTCTTAGGAAAGATGGCAATAAATATAGGTAATAGTTGTAAAAATATTTTCTTTACCCTACTCAAAGGCCCTAAGGCTGAGAGTCAGCTATGTTTGATTCCCATCTAGCCTCCGATTTGTTGTTTGTCCAGTCCCCTAAGAATGGTGGCATTGGTGACCTCTGAGGGACTGTGCTCCCGGACATATCTGATGAGCATTGAAGTCGTTCTTTATTGTTCAATGTCAAACATTTACTCTCATTTGTAAAATGTGCTTAGACCTCACCTATTCTTGCCTTTATCCTATAGCTGGGAGAAGACTATTAACACCTGCATAACAGAATCTCAGGTTCAAAAAATTAAGAGTTACAAAGATCCTCAGAGGCTACCTGCTTCAACAGCCTCATTTTACCATAAGGATAGAGCCAAGCAAGATGAAGTTGTCTTCCAAAGCTTCAGACCCTGTTTGTTGACTTGGAATATGAAGGATAGCGCTTGGCCTACCCCACCAGCTTTCCTTCTTGTTAGCTCCTGTAAGCTTGCCTTTAATTTGATTTAGAATCATTGCATATTAAATCACACACAACAAGGCACACCCTGCAGACAATCTAATGTAATAGCCTATGACAGCACATCTGCGAAAAACTATCCACTATCTTCGCTATTTCTCAAAAGTTTTCTATTAAAGGCAAATAAAATTAAGCAGAAATAGTCAGATAAGCTTTTGAAAATATTTTTGTGACTCATTGAGTTAAAATCTTGGTTTTATTTTAGCATCACTTGGATGCATTTCATGAACTATAGAGGCAGAACTAAAACCACTTTTAAAAGGAAATTTAAAACAGCTTTATGGAAATATAATTCACATACATTTAACTGTTTAAAGTAGGCTTTTGGGCCGCTCCCAGCCCAGAGGTAGGGGCTTCTGAGCCGCCGTCCAACTGCTCCTGGTCCAGAGGAAGGGGCTTCCCGGCCACCATCCCTCCC